AGATCCCCAGGCTGCTTATCTCAGGTCATCATGTTTCATCACCACCAAAGAATTTCTTTACTGGGTTAACACAATGGTATGAAATTGCCCGAGACAAATACAGGAGAAAATTTGGCCTAAAGTGTAATTACTCACCATGTGTTGATGGAAATTCTTTCAGGATCCTTCTTAAAAGTTAACTGGTTGGGATACAAGTGGGAGGGTGGGATGGGGGAAATGGAGGCATTTCATTTATTTCTTTTCATTGTGGCTGTATTCACTGAACCACTTCACCATTTTTTCTTTTCCCCAGGTGAAAACAGAACTTTTATGATTTTTAAGAACAAAGTAAATTGTCTATTTAGTAAATTGTGGAAGATGACTTATGATGAAAGGTCAAGAAGGTAACATTTGATAAATATATTTCATACCCTAATTTGCTTAGGGTTTAGCAGTATACATCAAAAACAAGAAGACTTTAAGGAACTGTGAAAGCATTCTGTTCACTGTTATTTAGAGCAAAATGATTCAATTGGGGCCGAAAAATAGTTACCCTATACACTGTGTAATAATCATTGAAAAGCTTATATAGAGCCCACCTTGGTGGCACAATGAGTTAAAGCACAGCACTATAAAGCTGTGGCAGCCAGGGCAGCACAAGTTCCATCCCCAGCCAGGGAAGTGTCCCACATGGCTGTGACAGACCTCTCCTTTCTCACCTGCTGCTCCCCTCAGCAGTGTACTTCACCAATCTGCCTGTTCTGCTCCCCACTCTGTCTCTGGTAAATCTTCACACTCCCCACACCTCTGGCCTGTACCCCAATTCTGGATGCATAAAGTTTTTTAAAAAAGCCTATGTTGGTATTTCACAATTTTTGCTAGAAGTGAGGGTTATTTTTACTATTTATACTTGAGAAAGCTACATTTCAGAGGCTAAGAGATTTCCAGTCAACAGCCAATTAATCTGAATCAGTGGCAGACATTAATAATCTTTTCTAAAACTGGATGCATCTTGCCTACATTTTTCCTCTCCTTAAAATGTTTATCTAATTGTTGGATTTATCTTTTTTTAAGCAGGTAGAAAACCATGTTAATGTTTCTTTTTATTCACATCTCTTAAGGCCATGAGTCTCTTATGACAATCACCTACTTTTATCAAGTAGTTAACACATCCTGGCATTGACTTTAACCTCTGATTAGTGTTTCTCATATATTACCTTTGCAAGTTTGATTAAAAAAAAAAGTTTCTTGGCTCTACTTCAGAGATCAACTTAATATTGGGGAGAAAATGAGGATGTGACTCTCAATTTGCAGGTTAAGATTTAAAAAACCGAAATCTGAAAAGTAATGCCCAGAATCATGTTTTTTTTTTAATACATTTTAAAAGAAAAGGTCTATTACGAAAAGGAGAAAGAGAGGCACCTGCATAGTCATAAGCAGGTAAGAGGGTGACCACAAACCCTCTGATGTGGTGTGCTTTGGAAGGGATTATTTTATACTTTGTTTCGATTTACTAAGTCCTACTGATTTCAAATGCAGTGTCCATACAATTCGCACCTGATTTATCCGTTCTACTTTCTCCTTCACTGTTCTATTTCTGTATTTTCATTTCAGTGCAATATTGGAGTCTATTTAGTTCTGCAGATTCACACCTTCCTAGACGTTTTTACCTCAAATAGGTTTGGGGCTTAAAAGACATGCCACTGGTGCCTATCTGTTTACATTGTGAGATGTTTTTATATCTGTCGGGGAATGATCTTAAATATATTTCTATTTCACAATCAGTAGTGAAATCCTACCCAGTCAAAAACTAGCTGTGTACTGAGCCTGGGCTTGAGTCCAAACTCTGCATCTGAATATCCCACATGACTTTTAGGAATAGGTAGACTCAGAAAACAGGCTACTATTCTTCTTCCCCTCCAATCTCAAAAGTAGTTGCTCTGAACTGTATCTTAAATCATCACATAATTAACACAAACTTAACCCAGATCATTTAGTCTCTTTAAATGTCTTTATGACTCATGGTCAGTCACCTAAAACTCCAAAGGAAGGATTCTGAGGTCTTAGCCAAAGGGGAAAACCTTCATCTCTACACCCAATAATCCAATAATAAGGTAGGACTGTCACTTATACATAGTTAATTAGCCTTCCCATTCCAAAGCAAAATCACTCATCATTAGTAGTTTTCCATTTCATATGAATAGTGTTTGCTTCTTTATAAACTATTCTGACTGGGTCTTCCATATTGCTTTTTTATTAGTTTTTAAAAGGAAGGTATAAAGGACCACACTGTTATAGCTGCCATCTAAAAATTAGCCTAATGATATGACACTTGTCCATATATACAAAACTATAGTTGTCTGATACAATATCTTCTCAAAGGCAATTTTAATATCTCCAGATGCAAATTAGTTAGGCCAAACACCACCTTATCACCAACTGATGAAAGCTTTAGCTGTTCAAAGATATGTGTTCATGTATAAAAATTAAGATGACCACTAGACAAGTATTAGTGGAAATAAGTAGCAGTATTGCACCAATGCAAGACAAAATATACTTTATTGTGACAGCAAATGCACATAGTGCTGTTGATAAGGCATGCTACCAGGATTCCGCACGTAATCAAAGCCCAATGTGGAAATGGAGTAAGTGCAGTTTCTTAACGCTTAAAGATTTAGTTCATGGGAAAGGGAAAAGAACTGTGTCTACATATCTCAAATGCAATATTATACACCTATTTAATCAGAGACCAATGCCTCTAACCAATCGCCCAAAGGTAAATAAAAGAAACTTAATCTTAAATGTACTCAAGTGACTTCAAATATCAAAGACAAAAAGACTTTGCTAGTTAAATTGAGGCAAACTTCCTTCCTAGACAAAGACCTAGAAATTGAGCAAATATCCATTCATTCAAGTAGCCAATTTTAACATCATTTATACTAGAATATGTTGACATTGACATAGTTTAAAGAGACATTTACATTTTAATGCTTCATGATGTAAATAGTGGGCTAAAATAACACCCTGAGTCAAATTTGATCCCTTTCCACTTGAAGGGACCAAGGATAGTTTCGTTTTCAATAGCTGAACTTTGGAGGGAAGATTTGAGAAAACAATGCTAGTAGCAAGAAAACTAATCACGAATGAAGCTATCTGACTCTACAGACGTGTCAAAATCAATGCAAAACCGAGGAAGAAAGGCTGAAATGCTTTTTATAAAGCAGTACTCTTAAAGACAGGCTACTCACCCCTGCCCACCCCCCCACACACCCCTTCATTCTTTTAAAACAAATGCTGGTGAAATGCTTTCTGAAAGAATGCTTAGTGACATTCAGGTTCAACTGTCTTCTAAATGCAATACTGTGGGGTTTAAGCAGTTTGCTTTAAATAAATTTACAATTTAGCTTATACAGAGTCAATTTACTTTAAAAAATAAAAAGAAACACGACTGTAAGTTACTTATCAAATACTCTTTTTTTCAAAGGAGTTTTTTAAAAGCAACACAGGACCAAAAACATCCAACTATTACTTTATTTATATTACTATGCTTAAGTTACATGGAAAAGACAACCAAGCAGTTCTGCCCCACTTCAGGAAAAGCTTCCAAGCAACACCAATTAGGTGGTGACAAGTAACTGGGAATGGTGACATCTTTGGGTCAAGACTGACAGAAAGAATGGGCTCTGGTGCTACGGTTCTTCTCCAACAAGAATATGGCACAATGGCCAGCACAAGCCATACTAACACTGAACCTTTAGCGCTGGTCACAAATTCGGATCTTTTCTCTGAAACTAGCAAATTAAGTGAAATAATTGGGTTCAAAAAAAGTTTTAAAATGAAGCCCAAGTAAGTTTAAAAACCATGCTCGACGCTTTTCCTTTCAAATTTACACACCTTTTCACTAATAGCCCAGATTTCTTCCCTCACAAAGCCCATCACGTAGCTACAGACAGACTATTCTGCCTCGAGATGTAAACACAGGGAAAAAATTAACGGCATCTGCATAATATTCTCTCTACACACTGCTGTTGGATGAAAAATAGAAAATTAAAAAAAAAAAAAAAGAAAAGAAAGGAAGGAAGGTTCCATCTTAGATTCTCACAACTTCTTGTTCCGCAGTTCATGAATCCGACTCTGATGCTAAGGTGACAGTGTATGTAAGTAGATTTTTGTTTTCAGTGAAGGAGACCTGGGAAAAGACGGAGTTATCACTTTTTCTTCAAGAGTTATCAGATGGTACATGCTCCTCAAAGCCCTCACTCTCTCGAACTAGAGCCCGTTCCAGGATCACACGGCCCTCCTTATAACGCTGGCTGTCTTCAGTAGCAAACTCATAGATCCATCCCAGTTTGCTATTGCAGTTTTTGCAGCTCACATCTCGAACCATGTGGCGGCCAGTGAGCATGACCCGGTCTTGAACTTCACTATACTGCAGGTTAACTACCTGAGAAACATGTAAAAAAAAAAAATTGTGAAGGCATGTTATTTGCCAGAAAGTACTCAATATTTTGTAGATGCATTCACAGTAACTTCAATAACCCAACAGCAGTTTATACTTTTGTCAAATCTACAATGCCCTTCCAAGAGTTATTTTTAGATTAAACATCTCTAAAATTGCACTGCCCTGGGCATTTAATGCAAGCATGTGTTCTAATACTAGCCCGCAAGCCACACTATCTATACATACTGTGTTTCTGTGTTGTAGTACAGAATCCTGGACTTGAAATCATAGAAGGTAGGCCAGAGTCCAGTTATTCTCATTCACTACTGAATGGTGAGTACACATAAGGTTATCAATGTAAAAGAACCAGCATAACAGGTATTCCTTCAAAAAGTCAGCCAGATTTGTTTCTGAAAATATGTTATAGATAAACAGATTTGGACAGACTAAGCCTACTACAAACCAATGCAACATATGGTTTTCAAGTAGGTTCAGGAATTTGAAGAATTTCCAATGATTCTAAACATCCAACAATCCTTTACACTTTATTTTGCTCTAAAGTGCCAGATAAATACTTTTGGATCTGAAGGCTACATGGTGTTTGCTGTCCTTTTTAACTTGGCTATAATAGCACAAAAGCAGCTGCAGACAATACATAAATGTGATCCATTAAACTTTATTTATGAATTCAGGCAGTCTGTAATAGTGTTACTAACCCTTGCTCTATGTTTAAACAAAGATCAAGGGGGCGCACACTATCAGTTCTTCCAGAGAACTCCACCTAAAGTGAACAGACAGGTGTCTGTTTAGTAGAAGTTTAGCTGATCTTCTAAGAGCTGTACCTTAGACTAGCTCTGTTCCTTCATAAAATCAATTTTACAAATGTGTAACAGATTCCAAAATCATAGCTACCAGATTTCAAAGCAGAAATTAAGAGCAGGCAGACTTCTAACTTTTAAATCAGGAAATAGGTTTGTTCTGCTGACAAACCTATGTAATAAGTCAAGTTACAACTAAAGGAATGACTAGAAAGCATGAATTAGAGCAAGAGAAGTTGGTTAAATATTCACTCATTCACCTGCTTTGCCTATTAAGAGAGCTCAACACAGCCATCTCCCTATAAGAATAAATCAGTGACATAGGTATGGGGGTGTCTCAGGCCATTCTTCAATTGCCTAGGCTGAAATTACAATCATTCTTACACTGAATGCTTTCATTCGGAAGTAATGGAGACAACCCTTCTTATATAATACCCTTTAAACGTCCCAGGTTAAAGCTTACATCTTTGTAATATTTCCAGAGGTTCCTTCAAAGATAAGCTGTAGACAATTTCCATAGATGATTAGTGCTCATTCTGATTCTCAATCTCCCAAAGCTCTACGGGGTAGTCTAGTACTGCTGTCATATATCCACTTAACAGACTTGGGAAATGAATTAGGGTTTCTCACCAACCTTGTTAAAAAGAAAAGCTCTGCCAGTGGCACCTGTGAACCGAGTGGAGATGAGCTCTGAACGGTTGGTCAGGATTGTATCGCAGTTTGCACAAGAAAATAGACGGGTACCACCAATATGATCAAGGAAGATTCTGCCCATTTTTATAGGTGAAGTTCTAAAAACCTAGGAGCAAATGGAAAAGGACAAGTGAATTAAAAAGACAAACAAACCTGCATTTGTGTCTATAATGGTCTACTTTGTGGACCATTATAGGGAACCATTTATATCTGCTCTGTAGTACTCAATATGTGAAACAGCTGACTGAATGAACAAAAGGATTCAAAGTTCACACACCGAACAAATAAATAGGCATCTGAGCAAAGAACATTTTACAAGCAATGAGCCAACGGAGTAAGCATGCTTAGTTAGGCAAGGTCAGGAATGGTCACTTCTTTTGGTTGGCAAGTAAAAACAAAGAAAGTGGAATATCAGAAACTGAGGGATGAGAACTTGGGGTAGGGACTACATTAATGTGTTCAGTATACATTCTACACATGTGTAAATTTGAGAGAAGAGGTGTGGGGTATGTGTGAAGGATGATGAGTAGAAAAAAGGGGCAACCAAAAAACAAAGAGAATCTGCTTTGAAAATACGTGGGTCTCTAGCCATAAGACGCATCTACCTACCACCACACAGTGGGTGACACCACTGACATTACTGACACTGTAGAGCACTACGTTAGGTGCTCAAAATCACTGTGATAAGATGACGTTAGATTATCCAAAGGTGACTAGCTGTTCAAAAGCTATGCAACTTGCATTGCACCAAATTCAAAGTCAATATTCTTCCATTACCCTTCAATGTCTCCTCTAAGAAAAGGGCACACAGCTGGTGAAAGCTTGACTTAAGGGGAGGAACAAAAACAGAGAGACAGGAGACAAGCCATTATGGTATAACTTATTTAAATTTAAGTCTCATGGATTCAATAAATCACAGAAGTGCTTGTAATACTATTGGGGGGGGTGAGGGAGGGGAAACCTTTGAACCCAGCTTCTGAAACAAAGATAATGACACTTAAGTATTTCAATAGAGTTAATACATGCAACTTATTAAAGTCACTGCAATTAATCTACTTAAATTGCATTTTTTTAAAAAATGGCATTTCTAAAGATCTAGATTTAGTCAAGAATACTAGTTTTCATTTAAAGAAGAATCTGTCCCTGGGTATTGCTATTAGCTTGTGTTTTAAATCATTAACATTACGTCTTTAAAATGGCAGCAAAACTAGGGCCCTCCTTGGTGGCACAGTGGGTTAAAGCACAGCACTAAAGCTGGGTTAAAGCACAGCACTAAAGCTAAAGCCATTTCAGCCACTTCATCATGAGTTCGATCCCCGCCCCTGAGGTGACTCACATGGTGTGGCAGACCTCTCCTGACCCGCCCGCTGCTCCCCTCAGCAGTGTACTTCGTCAGTCAGCCTGTTCTGCTCCCCACTGTGTCTCTGGTGTTCACCGCCCCTGCACCTCTGGCCTGTACCCCAGTTCTGTATGCATAAATAAATCTGTTTTTTAAAAAATGACACACAAAACTAATATACCAATCACTCTGGGAAAAAAAATAGTCTAGATTTAGGCTTGTAACAAGACTCCAGTTATCCAATTTGAAGAAATTTCATCACACATTTAAAAAATATTATACTCACTCTTACATCGGTGAACTCCCTCAAGCATTAGGAGTCCTAATGTCATCAGGAATATCGTATCAGGAAGATAACTATGAAACCCATTAAACATTACAATGTGGAATTTTGGTATGAAATAAACATATTAAAATATTAAAAAGCACTGCATTAACAAGTGACAACAAATAGACCCTGAGTAAAAATGTAAGATTTAAGGTACAAAATTGTTTTCTGACTACAATTCTGCAAAGTAACAAGATGAGACTTGATGCCTATTGTTTCAGCCTTTACATAATAGCACTACACATTTTTCAGATGCTCAAGAACATAGTATTTGTTACAAAAAGGTCAGAATTGCAAGTATGAGGCCTGCAAGCTGAATTCACTTAGTGGTTTAGGGATACAGCAGAGAACAAAAAACAGCAGGGAACAAAGCAAACCCTCACAAAAGATGTTTTAGACAGCCCACACAATTTTTATTCTTAATATAAAACCACTGAGTTGGCACTTAAAATCTAGGAGATTTCACTAGAGAGTTTGTATTTTTGAGCTAAGGGGAGACCTGATTATAGAAAGCATATAGCTTAGAAGGGGATGAGGCGCAGCTCTTGTGCAAGTAAGGCCTTTGCCCAAATTCTACTCTTTTGGGCCCTGCAATATACTTGAGTTCATGACTCTTACTATAAATAAATCATACTTGATATAAATACACAAAGTACTCAAAAACCTGCGAGTAATGAGACTCACAGTCTCACCAACATAGTCCACAGATTGTTTTTCTGGGCATTGGTATTTGCATATTTAGCCTCTTACTCAGGGCTCTGGGATTCCCTTACTTCTTAAAATCAATTTTTAACTTTTAAAGAAAATATTAACATTGTACTTTATTTCAATAATAATGCAGGAGCAACTAGATATGTTCTTGAATTTGCCCTGGGAAATAAGCTACTGTGGAAAATATACCGAATCTCAAAATTTCACCTACAGCACCTACCAGCCTATTTATCTGGGTCAAAACTACAATCTGACTATGATTATTCCATACTGGATATAGGTAAACTTTTTATTCTTAAATGGGGTAAACAGATTTAATAGGTTTTCTTTTCTCTGCTTTAAATTCAGTCTGTTTTCTTTCTCTTTTATCCAAGTGTTTTTTACTGAATTCAATTACATGATTCATTACTGAGACCAAAAATATCTATGCAGAATCACTATTCCTAGTTGTGGTTGCCATTTTTAGAGTACTAAATAAAACTGCAAAATGTAGTTCATTACTAGAAGAGATGGGGGCTAGATTGCCATAGAATCTAAAAAAAGCAAAACATTACTGGTAGTCAAGGGTCTTTAGGAGGTAGAATGACTTCAAGGTCACAGGGGTTAGTTAAGCCTTAGCTTTGCAGAAAAGGTAACCCAGTACTTATGTGAGGCTCTCAAAAGGCTTATATCAACCAGAAAGCCACTATTATTTAATGAGAAAGATAATTTAAAATCTAAAACCTAAATCAGACTTTTCTGAACCATGACATGATGAATGCTGCCGTGCACCTAATAATTTATGTAGTCTGGACACTGCACTTGGTACCTGACACACATTTAATTTTGACAAATTTCTTAAGTTGTGTAATTTTCTGATACTGACCAAGCTGGAATCTGAACTAAATCTTGTTCTAGTTCTTTTCATTCAACCTATTCTCTAGTGACCAGAGAGTGCTGCCAGTTTCAATCTTCCTCGGATTATCGGGTCCACACTTCTAACTTCATGCTGATCCTCCTCTACTCTCTAACCTGACTAGAAGCAATCCCAATCACATACACTCGGTAACTAGGAACCCTGGATTTTTTAAAAAATAATTTGTACACCAAAGCATTTTGCTACTGTTAAGTGTACAACTGATTTTTTAGTGAGTGTACAAAAGCTGTGCCACCAGCACCACAAACTTTAGAATATTTCCATCACCTCCCCTGCAGTCACAACCCTTTCCATCACAATCCAGCACCAGGCAACCACTGATCTACTTTCTGATTGTCTTTATATCCAAAATGTTACCCAGTCAAGTTACCTTGGTCACCTTGCTAGGACCAAGAAGAGCTCCAAAGCACTCTAACCACATTATTTCCAAAATATCTCAAGAGTGAGCTACTTTCACATGTGATTAATGTTTTCTGTGCTGATTCTGGGCACCTGTGTCCCTAAGTAATAAGATACATGCATCGGTATGTACCAATGTTAAAGATCAGGTTTTTATTAAAATTTATGGCCAAACTTACCACAGTTAAAGCCATTTTCAGTATTTTAAGCAAGACCAGTATTTTGATAGTAATTTTGGTAAGTCACCTCCCCCCAGATAATTTTATAAGTATAACCAACTTGGCACTAGCTTCTCTTAATTCCAATTTACTGAAAAGGTAGAAATGAGGAAAGTACCGAAAGTGGTTGTTTAATTAGGAACACATTGTTTCTTTGAAATTACTGGAAATAGAAGCCAATCTGAAAATATAATGGCAATTCAGAGATTACGTAGATATTTTAAGTCATGATTTTCAACTGCTAACCCTTTCTACAAATATGTTGCTGTCAATTTCTAAATGCCAGTCTTGAGCTTTATTTTTCAATATTGGGCTTCTTATTCTGGACCCTTTATCTCAACAGAAACTTGAAAATCTGTCGATATTCACCAAGTTAATTATGACTAGGATTACACTAAGCCTAAAGATCAAGGGGAGGGGGCTGAGGGAAATAGTGAGAAGACTCACCAGCGATAGCAGGAAGCATAACAGGTGAATCTACTGACATACACTGCTGAGGGGAGCAGTGGGCCGACAGGAGAGGCCTGCTGGTTGGCTGCACCATGTGGGTCAGCAACCTGGCAGGCAATGGAGCTCAAACCTCAGTGGTGGTGATAGCTTGATACCCCTGCACCACCAGGGAGGCCCAAAACTGTTATCTTGACAATACTGAGTTTTCTTAACTCTAAGCATAGAGTATTTTCTCCATTTAGCTCTTTTCTCCTTCAGAATATTGTTTTTCTCATAGAAATATTATACATATTTGTACATAAATTGCAGATTTATACCTAAGGGTTTTATTTTTGGGAATGTTAATATAAAGGTAATGTGTTTCTTAATACCCGCCTGCTGCTCCCCTCAGCAGTGTATTTCAGTCGATCTGCTTATTCTTCTCCCCACTTTGTCTCCGGTGAATTGTCTCCACCCCCCCCACCCCCCACTTCTGGCCAGTTCTATATGCTTTCCAAGTTTACTATATTGCCATAATTTATCCATGAAAAAGTAAAGGGCTCAAAATGGTATCACTTAAGCTAAATACCAAGACTTAATATTCACAGCTAACCAATCAACTTGGAGTTTCCAGATCAATGCTAGTTAGGTAATCTTACCTGAAATAATACCTTTTGCTAACAATCTCCCTGTTCTGCCCCACTTCTGCTTATAAGAACATTCCCATTTTGTACTGCTCCACTGTATACCCTCCTATTCATTTGATGGGAAGCTCCTGGATTGATGAGTCACTATGAACAAAAAGTGAAATTTGGGGGGGGCCCTGCTCTGCCCAAGGTCTGGCAGCCAAAGCCATCTTAAAAGGCTTCACCATATATGCAAAATCTACTGCCTAGGACCCTCCCTGATGGCAAAACTGGCTGCTTGCATGCTAGTTCCATCCCTGGCCCCAGAGGCAATCCACAGCAGACCTCTCCTGACAGGCCCGCTGCTCCCCTCAGCAGCTAACTTCATCTATCTGCCTGTTCTGCTCCCCACTCTCTGGTGAATCCTCTCACCGCCCCTGCACCTCTGGCCTGTACCTCAGTTCTGTATGCATAAATAAATAAATCTTTAAAAAAAATCTACTGCATGAAGATATGAATCAGTCTTTACAGATAAAGAAATTTAACAGTGGACACCCAAGCCGTTGCATTCTGCAGGGTGGGAAGAAAAATGGATTCAGCATTTCTTTCCTCTAGCATCAGCAAATTTTCGGACTGACACAATCTAGAGCTGGATGTCCCTATGAAGAATAGCATTCTTAATATAACTGCCTCCTGTTTTTAGCAATATATACTAAATACAAAATTATGTTTACTCTGACAGTTTTCAGAGATTAAGATCTGTTTGGCTGTTTCCCTGGTTGGATGTTCACTTTGATTATTTCATAAACTTTGTCTATTCTTGAGACTTCTGGTTAACAATTTAATAAAACCAATCAGATCTAAAATTTATTCTAGGTTTTGTTAACACCTATCACTAGAAAATAAGGCTAGTCATGTAACTCGGTGAGTCAGCTCTAACAATCTGAGTTAGTAATCTCATTCTGGCAATGATCTCTCTCATTTGTTGCGCAAGACCATGCGTCAAAAAGCCTCTAACTGGATACACTGGAGTACAATTTAACTGTATGGTTTTCTGATTCAAGTGTCAAGTATCAAGTTCACCTGATAGCTAAGTTTCAGTTCCTATATTACCCAGACAGTACTACCCAGGATTTCCCAAAAAACTGTTATTGATTTACAGTCACTTAAGTATTAAATCTAAAAACGATGTCCTGGGCACCAACTATCTTTACATCTCAAGGATATATTTAGGGTAGCTTCCCAGCTCATGGATTGTTTCTGTGAAGGGGAGTTCGTTTAACCTCTTCTAGATTTAATTTTTGGTCTTATTTCCTTTCTCTTTTCATGTTTCTAAATCTGTTACTCCATTCCAACCACTAAGTAGAACAAAAGAAAAATAACAAGTCTAGGGAAGTCTTCAATAATCCAATGAAATATTAAAAGCCTTATGTATTTATAGTCATATGTATTTCACCAGTTTTAATACCATTTACTTAAATCCCTTGTAAAGAGTTAAATAATTTGAGTACATTTCATCATGTCTCTTTCCAATAGATAAGATGTTTGCCAGTTATAAAATTAAAAAAAATTATACCAGCAAGTCTGTTTTGGGGCTGGTGCAGGGTGAGAGTGTGGTAAGTACATTCAGCCCTTTCCAAGGAGTGTGTGTACATTCTACTTGGTGTTCTAGTACATACCCAAAAACACAAAGGCAATGTGGAAAATATTTTACGTGCCAAATTCCACAAGCCCTACTTTCTCGCTACTTTTAAACAGTATTTCTCACTGGGTTTCCAGCGTAGGCCTAACCCCACTGCAACCCAAGGCCTCTTCTTTTTCTAGTTCCAATTAATACCATTCCACTTAAGAATGCTTTCCTCTTCACTCTTATTTCTCTCCACTCCATTTTTGAAGTCTTAGGACATACTTTACTAATATTTAACCTTTTTTACTCATATTCATTGTGGCTTTTTACTAAATTTTAGGTTTCTAGAGAAAAGATCGTTCTTTGTAATTTTCTTCTTACCTAACACTGTACAAGTATGCAATAAACGTTTATTGTTGTAGCATATCTGGCACAAGCATGCACCTTGGAAACATTTGCTGCAAATGTTTGCTGGAAGGCAGCTTCAACGCCGTGTATGTGGCTGTGCAAAGTTGACTAATATCCTATCACCACCCCCAGTTACTTCACCAGCAAGTCTAATATTCCAAAAACACAAGGTTAGCCTGAGGTTACTTCAGGTTTTCCATCTGTCAAGGAGACCTGGAATAAAAATCCTCACATTACCAACAAGGCTCTGTAAACAGAAAAAGTTTAAAAATAAATGAGCTGTACACTTTCCCGGGCTCTCCCTCCAAAGGGGATTCACAGGTGCCAGGATTAAACCGATCTGCGTAGCGTTTCTCGTTCCAACCCCCGTCACTGCCCTACCTTCCTGCACAGGAGCGGAGAATGAAGGGGTGGCCGGAGCACGCACACGAAGCGGCGAGGGACGCAGCCGGCCCGCCGGCCGCAGCCGCCCAGGCCCC